GAATGCCGACGTAGTCCCGTCAGAGGCCGTGAAGTTCGTCCTGGAATCATTCGGTTATTATTCGGTCATTCGGCTTCGTAAACTTTGGCATTGTATGTAAATAAAGAAATATCACCCCACTATCCATGATTAAACCCTACCTAGACCGGGGGGGGGGCTAAAAGTGTCCGCGGCAACTTTGATGTCACCTAGCGTCTGAACGGCTAGCCGTAGAACGGCCAAACTTGGTGACTTTTCCTAGAATATTGTTAGCAACAATTCTCTATCATTGGAATAAGATAATAACTTTTTGTGTTGCCATGGCAACGGGTTTCTGACAGGCATTTTTTGCTAAATTTAGTACTTTTTGTTTCAACAATAGAATTTTATGGGTTTTATGTCAAGTTACTCATGGTTTCTAAAATTAATAACATCCCATATAAATGCATGTAGATTTTATCATTAAATATGCATAATTTATGCTAATTTGATGACGTCATTGGCCAAAATCCAAGATGGCGGACCATATCATTAGAACAGGTATATACGGGTTATTTCATTAAAATTTCATCAATACCTCCATTTCTTTTTGCAAAAAAGGTTTAAATGAAGGTCTTTAGTATGTTAGTATGCTTTATCATGGAAAAACTATTTTTGAAAATTCAAGATTGATGATCCATGATGGCGGGTATCTTAAATATGCATGACGTCATTATATGACGTCACCGGTGTTGCTATGGGCAACATAACACTTAGTACACCCTAATATTCTGTCATAAACACTTTTGGTACAGTTATGTTGAATACCATTTAGTTTTCAGGGAAAAACCTATATAGACGGTTTTGGCCAATAAAATCACATTAATGACGTCATAATGACGTCATAATACGTCATAATGACAAAAAATGTAGATATGATACATTTTCACTAGTACACCATCCTCTGAAAATTTGGTGGTCATACGACATACCGTTCGCGAGTTCTGAGGGGGGTCCCCCCCGGAACCTCAATTTCCCATCCAAGCCAGCCTAGCGGGGACCTATAGGCGGGCAGCATTACGGCCACACCCACAACCCGCGCGTTAGCAAGATATGGTTGAAAAAGATGTTTATTAAACTTGTCCAATAGATACATTTGTAAATTGTTTTCTGAAATTCTGTGTCTTTGAATAGTTGGAGCAAAATAACTACCGAACCGAGTTAAACCATTTCGGCACTGGGCTTCTGGTGCTTCGGCCGCGCGGCGTACAGAACAGTAATAGGCCAAGTCTTTGTCTGTGAAAACGTAAGAAAAGAGGCTGTGCAGTCCTGTCCTGTCGATAACCTTGTTGTCCCGATTAAACTTTGTTACCCAGGCGGTATGATCTAGAAAATATGAGTGGCAGCATCTCGATACCCTTTTTAAAGACAAGGATTGATTTGCCGATTCCGAGTTTCCAGTGCTGAAGCCGCCGACACTGGACACCAAGTGTTGACGTAACTTTGGCACTAGAGATCTAGGACGGAAGCCTCCTCACCTCTGTATACCGAGTGCTGAGAAAGGAACCCGTTACTTCGGTACTTGCATTATTTTCACCCCAAATACACCAATTCTTACATCGTTTATCTGACATTACCAACTCCGACTACCTGCCGCGCCGTACGGAATGATGTTGTTCAACCCTATTGTCGAATGGAATCACCCGCAAAGTGGGCGTGGCCCGAAATGCTGGTCATCCATTGGTCGCCGCTAGGCTATGTGGATGCGAAATTGATGTAGGCGTCCCCCCCCGGTCCCCCTATGCCAAAAAAGCCAGGTCTAGGTAGGGTTAATCAATTTGTACCGGTGAAGTCAAATTGGAATCACACTGCGTTTAGACACTAATCGCGATCCCGTGAAACTGCCTAGAAACTACCTCCCAAAGTGCTTTGGGATCGAGGCGCTTCTAATGCGATTTTGAGAGTTTCCATGAGGCCACTTAAATCCGGCTTCTGTTGTATCTGGATTGAAACCGCTTACAGCGTCTTCGTGTGAACGGACCCTAAAAAGGACGGCATCCAGCTCAGGCTATCTGGGCTGCACGGAAATAAAAAACTCAGTTCTGTGCTAACTGATGAATGCCGTACATGCCTGCCCTAAAACTAGTTATTGTAATAAGTACTGCCCCAAATTCAGCTTAGTATTCCTGTGCTTTAGATGCATTTTGGCTGGATTTTTATCGTCTTCTCTCATTATTTTGGTGGGTCTTTAGAGAGTGTCATCCATAAAGTTGAGACAAAAAGGCCTAATATGCAATGTTTCTGTGTGTTTACATTAAAAACGATTTGATACATTTGGTAATCTATGACATGGAAAAATCATCAAAAATAACCTTATTTACACATTACTTGAAATAAGGACCCAATATGCTATTTTATCAATGAATATTCGATACTTGTTACATATTCAAGTTGATTTTAGCTTAATGTTGCCATGTAAAAATAACCAATATCAATGTGGAGGTCACAATTGATGAACCTACAAGCAAAAATGGCAATTTCACATAGAGAATATATGTAATTGGAGTCAAACAATAAATGAAAAAAATGTTATTACCGCCTAATTTGATAAACAATGCTATTTTTTGTTTGTTTTTGATAGCCTGGCATCAGAGGGAGTTACGTTAGAGAATTACTATGTGCAGCCCATATGTAGCCCGTCAAGGTGCCAGCTCATGACAGGCAGGTATCAGGTAGGTTTCATTTAAAGAGATATGTCTTTGAATTGTTCCTTCATATTATGTCAATGTCTAAATTTAGACCCTTTTTGACAAAGTATCAAATAATATAAAATTTGACGAAAAGCGCAATGGGGTTTGCGGTCACTCTAGCTTCATGCCAAATTGTATGTGTTTTGGCCCAAAAATTAAGAAATTGAATCCATTTAACGAAATGGCAGGAGGAGAAGGAGGGTAAGAAGAAACAGGAGAGAACACAATATATGGCATACCCATACCAAGTGTCAAGATGATTTTCTTAATACGGGCTTTTAGATTTTTTTTCTTTTTAGCTGTGTTTTAGGATGTGTACTATAGCAGTGTTTGTTACCAATTAAAAGAGATGTCCTTTATTGCAGATTCACTATGGAATGCAGCATAGTGTAATAACTAGCGACCGCCCCCATGGACTGCCTTTAGATGAAATTACCCTACCCCAGAAGCTAAAGGAAAATGGGTATAGCACTTATATCGTGGGCAAATGGCACCTTGGATTCTACAGAAAGGAATACATGCCACTGCACAGGGGATTTGAAAGGTTTTACGGTAAGGCATACACTAACACACAAACACTAACAATTAAAGACCAAAAATTACTAGTAAGTACATATTTATGTCGGTAATAATGACTCATCATTGATTTTCAGGCCCTTTCAGACTCTGCGTGTGACCACATTTAGTAGATAACTATAAGAGTTTTCGGTCGGGGGCTTAGAGTGGCTAATAAGGAGCATGTTTTTAAATTTGAATTCGTGGTTTTAAAATTAAAAACTTCTGCGTGTGAAATTCCTGTCCTTTGGCGATGTATTATTTCAACATGTCCTCACTAATTATTTCAATGACATCTATATCAGCTTAATATATGCATAGTGATGTTAAACTTTAAGTAACAGATGTCACAAGGTATAAAATCTCCATCAATTACTAGTAAGGAATCATTCATAAGTGAATAATTTTCATAGTTGCATAATTATATCTGTTAATGTTCCGACTGTCTTTATAGTACATATATACATTACGTGAATGCAAATATTATGTCGAACACTGTAATTACAAAACATTCTACTAATTATGCAAATTAAGTCTTTACATGCATAAGTTGCATATTATTATGTACCTGTGTATGCTACTAAAAGTCAAAACCATAGCATGTTCAGAACCTTAAGTTCTGCTGCAATAACAAGGTCATCCACAAGGAGGTTTATCATTGACTTTGTCTTTCTAGGACCTACCAACATTCCAAATATCATTACAATTTATAAAGGCGTTCTTAAGTTATGATGACTACACATTTGCGGAACACACAAACACACACAAACACACACACACACACACACACACACACTACAAAGGGAGAGAGAGAGAGAGGGAGAGATATAGTAAAAAAGAGAGAGAAAGAGAGAGTGAAAAAGCAATACCTCCATTTTTTTTTAAAGCACCGTTATCAGATCTTCTTCCCCGTGTTGAGGAGGCCAACATCAGGACGGCGTCTATGTATTTAATCTTTCTGGGCCAACTGATCTCGGAAAGACAGGGATGGTACATTCACAATTTCTGGTGGGAGGGAGCTCCAGTCCGCCACTGTACGTGGGAAGTTTTTTGCCAATATGTTGTTGTGCAGCGAGGGACGTTGTATGACAGGGGATGTGGAAGGGTCTGTCTCTTGGGCTGACATACAGAGCGGAGTTCCCGGGAGTTGATAGTGATGGAGCCATGATGCAGCTTGTAGAAGGTTGCTAGCCTTGCTATTTTCCGTCTTACTTCTAGAGTAGCTCAGTCGAGCTCCTTCAGCATTTCACCAACACTTGAAGTCTAGAGAAAGCGGTTGCATACCCATTTAGCTGCCCTACGTTGGAACTTTTCTAGAGTAGCGATGTCCTTAGCAGTGTGTGGGTCCCACACGGTACTCGCGTACTCCAGGGTCGGCCTCACCAGGGCCTTGTAAGCTGCTTCCTTGATGGTCTTACAGGCTACCTTGATGTTTCGCCGAATGAGGCCGAGAGAGCAGTTAGCTTTGTTAGTGATGTTTGATACATGGAGGCTCTACCAGAGATCTTTGGTGAGGGTAACACCAAGGTACTTCACTTGGGTCTCCTTTTGCAAGCTGTGGCCATGTGTGTGTAGTCATAGTCTTGTGTCCTTCTTCTGCGGGTCATGTGTAAAGTTATGCACTTCTGTGGGTAAAAACACATTTTCCACTGTTGCTCCCACAGTGATAGCCTGTCTAAGCCCTCCTGGAAGCGGACTTGATCTTGTTGTATCTTTATTATGCCTCTTCCTGGACAATCATTTGGTGTAAGGAGGTTACCGGGGTCTCCAGGGAAGTTTTTAGGGCTAGAAATGCCAGGGATGTTACAAATACATTTGCACATTTCATTCGTCCAAAAGGTCAAATTCCAAAATCATGGTTATCACCTGCATCATTTTACTTGTTCTTAATGAAAATGACAATATTGTTATGTACAGTAATGCCGTAGTTTAAAAACAAGGTATTCAACTAGTAATGAGGTGTTTCTAAGCATAGCGTCGTGTCCCCTTCTTGAAGTGTATATATGTAACAGCCAAAATAAACAAACAGCTATCTTAAGTAAGTCTAAAAAAATTTAAAAAACGACATACCGGGATTTTGATTCAGATTTTATTTCCAATGACATAGCAGGTACAATATAAAATCAATATCTGAAATGCGTGATTGCTTACAGATACGTGATAAAATACAATTCTAAAACTCAGAGTTGGTGACATCAGGGTAACTACAAAATGATTCTGGTGAGAGCAGCAGACACCTGCAGCGTGTGTTACAGGTCAGCTCAAACAAACCTATCTCAGTAAAGATTAAAAGTACGAGACGTTTTAACAATGTGATCTACGCACTAAGCCCACACGGGCCATTGGTGTAAATTATCTCCTAAATACAACTATAGAGAGCTAGTTGTCAATGGCATAGAGCAGTCGGATCTTGGAATGAAGGACATGGCATGTCTTTTATATTTGCTAATCATTATTCGGTGCGAGTTTATACATATTACAAACAGTAGTGGAGAGAGCAAGCCACCTTGCGGGACACCAGTCAGGACTTTGTGGGCTTTGACAGACACAAAGCCCATTTCACCATCTGTGTGCTGCCTTCAAGGTAACTGGAGATTGTCGACCAAAGGTCCTGATAAATACCCGGATCTACCAAGGTCCGTAGCAGTTAGCCGTGGTCAATCGTATCGAAGGATCGAGAGAAATCTACAAACACGGCGTGGATATCCATTCTTGGACTGCTGTTCAGCGCGTCATGCCAGGCTTGTAGTATGTGGATAAGGACCGTCGAGCGTTTTGGAAGAAAAGCGTGTTGTGAAGAGGTCAAGTATATTTCTGTTTTTCGTATAAGAGCATCTTTCAACAGGCCCTCAAACACTTTCCCTAGTGACACGAGAAATCTGTCTGTAGTCCGACGGAAATGCGGTCTGGGTTTTTAGGCACGGCTCTAACCATGGCATGTTTCCACATCTGTGGGAATGTACAGTTCTGGACATATGGGATTAAAACACCACACATGACAGGAGCGAGTTCTTCACTGAACAGTTTCAGAGACCATGATGGGATTTAATCAGGGTCCATAGCCTTCCTCACGTTCACCTTGTGTAACCTTTGCTTGATTTGGCCTAAACTGAAGATGAAGTGTGCACTGTGACAACGTGTGCGCTGCATCTTGTACTGTTGACACGATCTGGTCAACCTGGCTCCAAACGGAGGCGAAATTGTTGTCTCGTTAAACTTATTCAATAGCATAGTAACATGACATGTTCATTATGCAGACATTATCCTGCGTAACGATTGTTTTCAGTCCCGTTACAAAATTTTAAGACATATACATAAGACCAAAACAGTATCTATCCTTTCAAAATTAATAACAGCTGTAAATGAAAATAAAACACCTTATATTAAAATGATTTGATTTCCACACGGAAAGTAAGCCTTAGACTTTTCTGTGTATTTTTGACATCAAGGTTACCTGACCGGAGGTGAGGACTACTGGACACATCGGAGGCCGAACCTTTTTGCAAAGGATCCAAACGCATTTCACGGGCTTGACCTACGAGACCAAGACAAACCTGTCCTTGATCAAAACGGAACCTACTCTACCAACCTGTTTGCTTCAAAAGCTATCGAAATCATACGAAACCATCCGCAGAACAAGGTATAACCGTATTTACTAGATACAATGTCGACATATTGCATGCGATTATCTTGTATTGTTATCAAATAGGGCAAAGGGCACAAAATAACGCAAAGGGCATGAGATAAAACTGATTATCATGGTTATATCATGATCAACATTACAACATATACTTAAGTCTTAAATACATTAAGAATAAAATTTATCTAATAGTTTTATTAAAATTGCAAGTATAAAAATCTTTACTTACTTACGGTGCTAGCATTTAGATTAAAAATCAACCATCTTTTAGAAAAGTATTTCTTTAATAACTCCATATTTTAACCAGTTTTTTTTGTCAGAGAAAAATGTAAAGTTGAGGTGACCTTGTTTCGAACACTCTGATAATGTATTTTATGTCCTACCTGGGCCGCGATTGCATTCGATAGGGATGTTCCGGCCCGTGTGATAACTAGCGGTACGGCCCGGGGTTCTTAACGCGTACGGCCCGGGGCTTCCAAATGTTCCAAAGAACGATTCGAACGCGTTTCGCCCTAACCGCTTGCACCGATTTCGAAATTCGGATACAGAATCCGCACGTTGGAATTGATGTTGGTGCACTTGTTTTGGGTTTAGGGACACCAAATGTTCGCCCATTTCGCATTAAAAGGCGTGTTTTCTTGGGTGGGTATAACATAAATAAAATACAACAAGGGGTATTCCGCATCGCCCTCGGTCCCAGTCCTCCTGCGGAGCCGTCGAGCGATCCGACGCGCGGTCGGGCTGGTACCTCGGGCGATACGGAATACTCCGTGTTGTATTATATATTTATACATTTTAAATTTCATATTTTTGACAAAGCACAGAGCAAAAAACGCAGGGTCAATGACCTAAACATGACGTCATTTTGAAAATATGTAGAAGAATGCCAGCAGGACAAGGGTTAAACTGTATTTGTTAAAAATTTACGTCTAGTGATACAAGATGGCAGAAAGCTAGAATATTCATTATATCATCTCAAGACGTCTTTTCACGTTATGACGTCCTTTTTACGTTAGTGTTGCCAGTATTCTCAGACCTTAGTATCTCTATCATAGACCCAGTCTGCATAGGGTTAGATAAATGTATTAACATTAATGATGTTGAGATAATTTCTTCCACTTGCACACTTCCTTAAATTCTGCGAATTCCATTTGAGGAATAGGTTAAGAAAACTTTTACCTAATTTTCCTCAGCCGATGTTTCTCTACCTGCCATTTCAAGCTGTCCATTCACCTCTCGAAGCACCCCGAGAGTACATTGACATGTACAAGAACGTAGAGAATACCCTCGTCAGGACATATGCCGCCATGGTGACAGCGATGGATGAGGCAGTGGGGAATGTTACTGACGCCTTGAGAAAGACGGGATTGTGGAACGATACAGTTCTCATATTTTCTACAGGTAAAGAAGGGCAATTTTCGGCTGCATATTTTCGAAGACAGCTAAAAGATACTATTTGGTTTGTAGGTTTTTTTTCTTAAAAACAGCCTTCGGTAACCTGATACCTCCTGGTATTATTGCAACCTTTTGTTTTCTCCACTTATATTATACAATCAACCCATATCATTTGGCAGAATTCTATTGCACGCTTCACACTCTAGGCTCCAGCGGCCTTATTGTCGACTATTGATGCTAACCTTGGAGGCTGGTTTATAATATGACAATGTCCCTTTTTGGTTATATAGATATAGTATTTGCAATCATTACATCAGTTGATCAACAATCAGTGACTGCCTTATATTACAAAAAGAATGTTATCCATAAATTTTAACAATTAGGTCCTGGTTGATATTCTTCA